TATATATATATATATATATATATATATATATATATATGTATATATGTTTATTATTTTTGTGTAGTTATTTATATGTATAGATTAGTGCTTTTAAAAGAAATTAACGTTTATCCTTAAACGATCCTTCAAATATTCTAAAACTGAAAACTTATAGTGTAATGAAACTTCTTCTTTTTTATATATTTATTATGCATTTATACTTATTTTACTTTATAATTATTATTTTTTCTTTCTTTATTTGTAATTTTTACTTTCCTTTCATTCATTTGTTTTTGCAATTTTTTATTTTTAATTTGATTATTAATATGCTACACATTTTTATTAGGATTTCTTTTCTTTTTTTTTGTTTTTTTTCAATATATTTTTATGATGATGTTTTTAGTGGTACTTACTTATTTCTTCATTATAATAGTTTAAAATAATTTTTTTGTGTTTGCCTTATGAATTATAATATTTTTTATTTAATTTTATATATGTTATTACCTTAATTTTTAAACAAAACGAAAAACTGATAAAATATATATTTCTTCTTTTTTTTTTTTCTCTTTTTTTTATTTTTATTTTTTTTTTACAAAATTGCTTAATTTTCTAAATGAGTTCAATGTGTTTCTCTTTAATAGAATAAGAAAAAAAAAAATTTATTTATCTTCATCATATTGTTATATGTTAGTACATAAAAAAAAAAAAAAAAAAAAAACAGTAATCTTAGATGTTCATCTATTTCTTATACGTTTTATTTTGAAATTTGCTTGATACTGGACTTGGACACCACATATATACCTAACTCTAAATGAATGTAGGGTTCAGGAAGCCATATTCATTTTGAATTGAATTTCGAATATAAATCATCCCTAGTCCAAATAGTGATCCATACTCTCGATCTGACTTCATAGCCAGTCTTAATAAATAATTATTCCGTCGCCTAGAGTATTAAACTGCTTGCAAATAGAAAAAGGAGTCTTTGGAGCAGTTTAAATTATTTCGTCTGCTAACGCTATCATTTTGTTTCAAATAGAAGCAACATGCGTGAAAGGTTTCGAATATGTTGTCGAAAACCTAAAAAAATATTTCAATTTCTTTCTTATAAACCACATTTAAAATGCATTTCTTACCAAATTATCACTCTTTAAATAAGATGAATGCGTTTCTGCGATACGCAGAGTTGCAATTTTCGATTTTGTAAACTTAAGTGCTGAACACACAGTTGATATTGTACGTGTAAGCCAAGTAAGCGGAACTGTATGACTGAAAATTTTTGTATCAAATCGAATTTACAAATACAATGTTGTTTATTTTACGTCTTCGTTCACATCGTTGGAGTTTTAATTTTCAATTTCAATATATTTTGGGCTAAGGCTTTCAATTTTATCTGAACCATATGACCTACCTGTCACACACACTCAAATAAAGTTGAGCAAATAATCGAAAGCGCGGATCATTTACTTCATCCGATCGTAGGTATGCTTTGCTTTCTAAGCAAGATCATCAACCTTTCGTTGTTATCATCGATATTGAAATATTGTTTATCTTATGTAATCCGAAGTGTTATACTCTCAACTCCTAGCGAAAATTAATGAGTTTCCTTTGGGCGATGTGTATCCGATTGTGAACTAAAGGGCTAGTAGATATATGAACATTTGAACATTTGTTAAACATAATTTTGCACTAATTAATTTTATAATCCATTACGTTCTTTCCGGAGTATTAAACAGAGTATAGTAAGAAAAATGTAAAAATGAAATTCGAAGCACTCGTCTTAGCAAGTTATATTTCAATGAAATCATTGAGTTAATTCGACAACGGCTTTTCAAGTATAAGTTATACACCATACCACAGTAAGGTATAACTTTGCCACTCATTCATAGCAAACGAATATTTCCTGGCTAAAGCCAGATTTTATAATTTTTTTTTGTTTTTTTTTTTGTTTTTTTTTTTTTTTTATATAAATAAAATCTATTTCACGGCACGGGACCGTTCAATAACTACCGTTACGCTAACTATGTTAGCTATACTAGCTACGGCTTCCACTCACGTTTTACCTGCTTCAACGTATGAGCCCGTTTTAAGTTATTCGCAGCGTAGATTCTACAATCAGTTCAGCAAATACGGTGGCTATGGTTATAGATGATATTGATGTGCATAGCAATGAACAACAATTGTTGGCCTATTACAAGCAGGCACGGCAAGAGCAACAAGTGAAAAAACAAAAAAGCTTCCGTTATCGTCCACGAGATCAAGACAATTCTTTGTTTAGTGATCATAAAGAAGTGAAAGGAAATCGCACAGTTAAGATAAACGCAACAACGCGTTCAGCAGCCGCTAAGCCTGCAAATCCTTATGTAGCAGCAACAAATTTTACGAGTACTACAAGTACAAATACTACAAGTATTTCCACGACACCTCCGATAATTGCTGAAGAAAAATGTGAAGCCAAAACTTTGGATGAAATACCAGCTGAACCGTATTACGATTTTAGGAATATAGCCGAGGATGCTGCTCGTCAATTTACTCAATTTTTAGCGAATAAATTTGCATCTGTTCCACCTGCTATAATAACTGATCAAATTCGCGACGAGGTAAGGCGTCGAGCTAACGGCATTGCCAGCTATGCTTTAAGTGAAGCCGATAATCTATTGGTGTTCGCTTTAGCAGCGCCAAGCACACACACACGGTTGTGGTTAAATTTAGAGATAATGTTACGATACCACCGGAGCAGATACACAATCGTGGATTTTTAGGTTCCTATTGGCGGGAATTGGGACATGCGTGGAATAGCACTGACGATACCCAAGAATGGGGAGCACCGTTCAGGGATTGTAATCTCTCTTAGTAGGAAGATGGTTGTGGGCTTTTCGTTTAACATTTTCAGAGTCGAAAATCAAAATTGTTGCCGCGGCCTTTATAGCCGCTGATGAGGATGTTTGTAATGACGGTTTAGGGCTGATTTTCGGAAGAAGACATGATTGTGATCGTAATATCACCTTTTGTTTATTAACTGGAAACAAGCCAGCCGCAGGAATCTTATTATTTGCCAAATTCATCACTGCAAGGTTTTCGAGGGGATATCGTAGAAATGTTGGACGGTTTTGACAACCATTCTTGCGTACCTTGCCCAGGAGGTTGTACTGCGTGCGATTCGAACGGGGTTTGTTTATTTGGTGGACCTCAAGAAGCTGTTCCATTAGCAAGTTTATTGAAAGTATCAGTTGGATCTTTTCTGGGAGCTTGCATTCTCTGCTGCTAGGTCTTTAGTGTTATTGTGTTCAGACAAAGGAAGTCCAAGGCGATTGCTTCTGGCACGTGGACAGTTTTGGAAACTATATTAACAGGAATTGTATTACTTTACGCGACAGCTTTCAATATTGTTGCAAACTTCAAAATCCTCGTTTTGCATTACTCAAACTCTTTTTTTTCGCTCGTCGTGAACGGGTGTTTGCATTGCCTAAAACTGTACGTGGCAAGTACTTTAATTTAATATCATTTATGAAGCCATCTACATTGGAATATGGAAGAAGATTTCTACGAAGCGCCATAGCGCCCAATCGGGCATAGGCCCATAGCTTATTGGTGCGAAACAAGGCCCGTGCTTGGTATCGTATATAACATGCCTTTTTTTTACTCATTGGTCCTGTTATCGACTCTTTGCAATTTATTTACCAGTATGTAATTATTTATATACATTAATGCAATTATTTATGTACATAACTTGTGAATAGATTTCAAGAAGTCGGCACCGCAAACCTAACGATTAAAAAATCGCATGCTTCACCGCGGAATTTGCTTTATATGCAGTAAGAAGGCGAAGAGTTTTTACGCGCCAATCGATAGGGCAATACTCGGACGGACACTACACCGCTTCGGGTTCGGAGTGTTTCTGCCACGCGTCGACATAGATGGCTTCTTAAACGAAATTGAAATTAATGATTTTATCATAAGGTACACGGTTTTGCGTAAAACCAGACGCCCGCTTACAGCGAAGGAAAGTGTTGCAGTAACGCAATCGCGGATTTTGAAATTTGCAACGATATTAAAGACTGTAGACTAAAGTGCTATTATACACAACGCTTTGTCAAAATCTATTGTAATATTTTCCGCATGCAAATGGACGTTCGAGCAGAGCAAAAACGAGAAACACTTTGAATGGAAATTCGGCGAACTATATAAAAATTTTGTACACATTGTTAAGTGATTCAAGTCGCTACAGTTCAGTTTGTTACTAGTCGATGTTTTTCGTAACGTACCGCCGCTACAATATGATGAAGATAACTTGAAAATTACAATGAGAGCTAATGCATTAGTTCAATTTACTTATGCGTTTAAATGTGGATAATAATAAAACTGTTATGCTACAAAAATACATATATAACTGAAAGTTCCATAATTGAAAGGAAAATTTCAATTTGTTGATTTGTACATATTGCATGAAAAAAAAGCACAAAAAGAGATTCTACATATTTTTTGTTAAAAATTTCCAAAATTAATCAAAGTAAAAAAAATAAAAAAAAAAAAATAAGGCATAAATATAATCAAAATATTTTCCAAAATAAATGATTTTCTAAATAAAGTTTAAAAGAAAATCTTGTGAATTTGTTTTTCATTTTTGTTAACAAAACTATTGAGAAGAAATATCGCTTTAAATAGCACTCGCTGCAGATTTGCAAATTCTTCCTCATTTTAGAGATAAAGTTTTCCATATGTGTTTTAAGTAAATTCTGTTCTGTTAATAATTTGTTGAAAGTACCTTGAAATTCTATTTTCGACTCCTAGTTGATCGATTTCCTGCTGCACTGCTTCCATTATTACCACTATTGTTACCTGCTGTTCCCGTGTTTTCCGTTTGAGGACTGCTCGTCGAAATATTTGGAACAATCAACAAAGGGGTGCTACAGTTATTATTATTGTTATTGTTATTTGTGCTCGTAAATGACGTGTTGTTAGTGCTCGTAACGGACGCCGCCTCAATCATTTTATTATCCGAATTTTTTTTTTGCAATGCAAAGCCACTATTAACCGAGCTTTCAATTGACGAAGCAGATTCCGAAGCTGCACGAATTTCAAAACAAATTTCATATTATTTTCAATTTTTCGGTAATTAAGTTATTCCTTATTAAGTGCCTTACATTTATTTTTATTATTATTTGTTGTTGCTGCTGGTTTTGTATTGGCAATGGTTGTAGGGGTTGTTGATGTTGATGTTGATGCTGCTGCTGCTGTTGCTGTTGCTGTTGCTGTTGCTATTACCGCTGTTGTTGGTCCAACTGTGCTGGAACTTACGACTGACTTTTTTACAATGATACTGTCTTCTGCTACAACATCGGCCGCCTTTCTCTTTGAAGCCCTTTCGCCGCGTGTTGTTGCCGTTATTTTCGAAGTTGATGGTGTGGGTGTACTCTAAAAGTATATGTTTATATATATATGTATATATATATATATATATATATATATGTTAGTAATAAAACTACTATTACGAATTTATATAGGTTTGACACACCTCCTGAGGCACATTTTTAGCTCTTGAAGTTGTGGGTGTAATAGGCGAGGCCGCTCTGGCCTTAGCCAAAGGTGATCTTTGTGCTCGTGGTGTTGCTTTCGATGCACTGGCATTAAAGGTTGAACGTTTTTGATTTGGTTTATAATCGGTATCCGATTCAAGGTCATCGGAACTCTCCTGATCATCGTCATCATCGCTACTGGTAGACTTTTGTTTTCGTTTTCGTTTCAGAGGTTTTCTTTTCTTATTAGACGATTTGCGTATATTAGAAGACGCAGCCAGTAGGCTTACAACACCTGAAGCCCGCTTACGTTTGCTACTTTTTACAGTAGATGGCGCGGAGGTTTCCGCTACATTATGGCTAGATGCGATAGTAGTAGTATATTTTGGTATCACATTACCAATACCACCACGTCGAGATTTTCTGCCACTAGTAGTAAAAGGTGTCTCATGACCCCCATTTGAACTTCCGGCCGCCAACACCGGTGGTTTCTTTTCAATTTGAGATTCATCTTTGTAGAGAGAAATGTCAACTAAATATAAGGGAAAAGATTTTTTAACCGTAACACACACAACTATAATACTATAAGCGGTAAACTTACGCCCATCAGGATTCTCTTCGGTCAGTTCAGGGCGTGGTGCTATGCCTTTTTCCACATCTAACGCCTTCTTCAATATGCTTTCAATGCGTGTCTTTTCCGATTTTGGTAAACGCATATGACCCTTATCTATACGCTTCAATTCAACTGTGGTAAGTACGCACTCAATGTCGGTATGATCATAAAAATCGGGTACATAAATATTCGGATCTTTAGAGTCTTCAGATAACCAACGAATGCTAATGCGGGGTGATGTTCGATAAACATTTTGCATAGTCTGGCACAGGTAAAATGTACCTTCGGCATTCCGTACCGCCATATATTCATTCTTATAAAACACTATCAGACGATCCTCACTTGACATTGGTTTCGGCGAATTCGAAGCTTCACTAGCTGACAATTTTGTTATATATGCCAATTCGGGCAATGGACTTTGGTAAAGTATGGTTTTCAGACGATGACGTTGCGATTTGCGATCTGCTGACGGAGTGATATTTTCGGCTTTGGATGTTGCTGATACTGAAGAATCAATAGCATACGATTCGACTTTGGATTTCCTTTTCGCCCTTCCTGTGGCAATTGGCTTATCATCTCCTTGTGCCTTCACCTTTTCATTAGTAGTAGTAGTTGTAGTACTGGTAGTGGTGGTGGTGGTAGCTGCCGAAATCGTGGTTTTATTTGCTTTAGATGTCTTGCTTTGGCGACCCATTTTTTTAATCGCAGTATTTAACACTGTTTCAGAAGCCGTTGTTGTTGATGCAGATAAAGTTTCATTTTTAATGCTAGCGTTGTTAGCCTCTTTACCATCATTATTCTTATTAATTTTCCCTGATATTCCAACTTTAATTGATTCACTTGAGAATTCTTGCGTTTTAAGAACTTTCTTGCTCTCCTCCTTTTCTGTGTTATTCGCTTCCAATTTTATATCATTTATGCGATCTTCTAAAGTGCTTCCTTTATCTGGCGATGGTAAGACCGATTTCTTTTCACTGAATTTTGTTGCTTTTGTGGACGTCGGCGAAGTAGACATTGCGTCCATACTCGGTGTATCTTGTTCCGAACTCTGGCCACCCGATAAATAGTTGCCCTTCTCGGAGCTTCTGCTTATTGGTGAGGTTGTTAACGCAGTGTCTACGGCAGTATTTGATATCGGCTTTACTTCATCTTTGATTATAGAAATATTTGTTTTTGGGTTCTCGGTATTTTGTGTTTCATTATCGTTCGATGTCTCGCCATTTTTGCTCTTTTCGACATCGTCGCTAAAGTCAACACGATCCACAATCGATGAATCTTTCAATCGCTTTTGTTCTTCTGTTGTTATTTTCTCGCTAACAATTGCAGATGATGGAACTTTTGGAGGGGATTTGCAAGCATCATCGTTTTTAAGTGTGGGGTCAGCAGTTTGAGGGGTTTTAGTCTACAACATAAGGAGATTAAAAGTAATTAAAATAAGCCGAAAGTAAAAAGTACATATACGAATAATTACCATTTCTGCATTGGGTTTAACTGTTGTTTTAATAGATGATGCAAGGTCATCTTGTAAGTCGTTACACTTTTTATCTCCACCGTTTTCATCTTGTTTCAATTTTGATCCCTCTTCTGACGCGGTAAGCGTTGGTTTTTTAGTTATAACATCAACCTCCGTCTTCTTAGTTGCCGTCTTAACTTCGTTCTTATTCGCAGTTTCAGACTCTGCTATAACTGCAGGAACAGATGGCGACATCTTTGGAGATGCTTCCCGAGTTTTTTCTGGCGGACTTTTACCTTTATTGGCGTCCTTTTTATTTGGTCCCAAGCATCCCGTCGCTGATGTTTCGGGTCCGTTATTGTTTGTTACTTTGCATATTTCTTTGTCAATTGGTTTCGAGTCGTTAATTGTGCTACCGCCTGCTAATGGGGTCGACTTTGTATTAATCTTAATCTCAGAAGAATTCGAATTTGTTGGGGTCGATGATGATTTCTGAGGAGATACCAAGGTCGTTGCAAAAGGTGCAGAACTAGTGGCGGTTGTTGTTGGAGCAGTATTCGTAATTGTCGCGTTAATATTTGTTTTATTTGTTGTAGTTATTGGTGGTGTTGGTGTCGTAGGTGGTGTTTGTTTCGTTAATTGCACCGGCGTAGATTGCGGCGACTTTAAAGCTGTGCCAGCAGCATCCACATTTGCTCCAACTTTAGATGGACTAGCAACAGTGGTTGCTGTGCCGCCGCTATTGGGTGTTGGATGTTTTTGAAAGTTCTGAGCATAATTTGATGATAGCGGAGACGCAGATCCTATGCTCGCTTTTCCGCTTGCACTTGTTCCGCCTGCAGTTTGAAATTTATTTTGCTGATGGGCAGTCCCAGGCGAAGGCGAGTTTTGCTTCGCAGGTGTTAATGATATGGATGGTGGTGGGGTTTGGGCTACACGTTTACCTGAACCCATTGCTGACATAGTTGCGCTACTCAGTGACTTCGGATGCACATTTGAGCCTGGAACATTCGGACCAACAGTTGTGCCAGCCACCGGAGTTATTTGGGTATTCGGTGGAAGATTTGGTGGTTTCATTTGATTCGTTAGCGGCGGTGGCGGCGGCGGTGGTGGTGTAACCGAACTCAATTTATTACCGCTGGCCACCGCCTGAGCTGCTGTAATGTAACGTTGCTGGAGATGCTGCAACCCAGCTACCGTCGAAAGTGGATTTTGCTGCTGTTGAAGTTTCTGCTGTTGCTGTTGCTGTGATGATAAAGGCCCCTGATTAGACTGTTGCTGTCCGTGATGTTGACCCTGATTACCGCCCTGTGCATGCTGTTGTTGATGCAGTTTTGCCTGATTATGCATTTGGAACTGGAAATGCAGAGCCTGTTGTAGCTGCTGCTGTAACTGATTCAATGGCGAATTGGCGCTTGGATTACCATTTGCTTGCTGTTGATAAGTTTTGTGTAGCAAATCCGCTGCGCCAGGAGTACGCGTAAGAGCCAATGGCTCTCCACTACCACCGCCGGCGCCACTAACAACCCCACCCACTCCACCCCCGGTCATATTGTGATGTTGCTGCTGCTGTTTCTGTTGTTGCTGCATTTGCTGAAAATGTATAAATTGTTGCTGCTGTTTCAACATAGTCTGAATTCGTTGCTGTTGTAAGAAAGCATTCAAATCAGACTGCGACGATTGCGGTAACGCATTTTGACCGTGCACAAAATTTTGCATTTGTTGTATGCCAGCAGCAAAAGTTTGCGCCGCCTGCTGAACATTGTTCGGTCCATTTGGTGGGCCACCGCCCATACCACTGCCACCAGGGCCGGGTGGTTTTTGATTGTAACTCATGTTGACATGAAATTCCTAAATGTTTATCTCACAAACGAGCAAACTGAAAATACAAATGAAGTCGAAAAATCGAAAAATTATGAATTCAAATCGCATTCGATCGCAGTCGTACGCGTGCGCGTAAGAACTTTTCAAAAACATAAACGTAAACACATAAGCATAAACAAAAACAATAAAAACCATCATGACCGCGCAATATTCGCAAGATTCAATTCCTACGTTGTGCATAATACATGTATGCATTTGTTAACTAATAAAAACTACAAATTTTTCTTTTCTATTTCCGTTAAAATATTTATTTTAGTTATTTTCAATATCATCTGAATTATTCGAACCTTATCAAGTGAGCTTTACAGAGTCGTTCACGGACGATACATTATTAACACTAATTCCAGATAACCGTTCATTGCTATGGAATATTCTTATCATCATGTCGTACGTTTTTATAACAAACCGCTGAATCCTGTCAAAAGTAATGATACCGCAACACTCACATCATAATATTGAACATATTTCGCATTCTTTTGCGATCGCAATGGATCGCCGAAGTTTCTCTTAGCAAAATTAATCGAAACTCTGCAAAAAATATTTTTTTCATGCAGCAATTCTTATTGAACAAAAAATCACTTTATCGAACAACTTGATCAATTAACAAATTTCCACAGTCACTTTGGAAACTTTGATAATTAATGCAATTCCTTTTTGCTCATATTGACCGGCCATATATAGAGGTCACAAAAAATGTTTGGATACTCTCTTTACATATATAAAATATATAACGAAAATGACCATTAAAAAACGTTGCCTAAACGTTAATGAGAAAGCTGACGGGCGCTGAATTGTTAATCATTCCTCCCATGTCTCATAAAAGAAGAAAAAAAAAAAAAAAAAAAAAAAAAATTAATCTCCTCATTGCCGATAAGGTAGACACAAATTCCACTACTAATTTTGCTAGGGATTCTTGGACTAACATCGCCGAATTTGAGAGCTTTGCTTAAAATCTTACAAATTTGAAGGCCTCTGCTCTAGATGCACATCCATAATATTCCGCCTGAAAGTCTTTCTATTTTACAGCTATTTTTTAAAAAAAAGCCAAAACCGCCCCTATTGCCCAGCAAGGTAAAACTCAAATTCAACTTATTTCCAATTATTGAACAATCAATCAGTCTTTTAAGTTCGTCGGACAAATTGTTCGAGAAATTTACGCTTAACCGATTGACTTCAACGAATTTGTTAATGATAACAATTCAATTCATATCTGCCGGTATGGTCTTAAAACACACAGCATCCAAGTTCTCATCGTCAAATTATACGCGTTATTAATACGGTGGGGTCAAAGTGAGTAAGTACAAAAACAATCCTGCTGGAGTCCTTCTTATCATTCTAGTGTTAGCGACAAGATCTTTTTGAAAATACAACATTCACGGATTCCCTCCCTTCGATTCGGTTAAATGATTTTTCACTTATCAAAATTCAATTCATTTTTATATTTTTCTGGAATAATATGCGGCAATCTCGGCATTTATTTATACACTACCTACACCACCACTTGTGGGTGCTGGGAATATTAAATTAGTGCGAACGTGTAAATTCATCTTTTATTATACCGATCGATTCAGAGCCATATTCCGAATTGATCTAAGCCTATCCGTCCGTCTGATGTCTATCCATGTAAATTTGTATTCAAGCTACAAGTCGCAATTTCGATGAGATTTGGTACAGTTACAATCACGATCCCTATTAAAAGTGGTTCGGATCGGTCCACTTTTCGTCCGCTCCCCATATGACATCCTCATCCGAAAAGTTGTTATTTGGGAAAAAATAGCTATTTTCAAAATTTCTCGACAAAAGTGACTAAGTAGTAGTATTGCAACATTCTTAATTAGTATGAAAACTTTGGATCGGCTTGCGTAATTTTTTGAGTCCCCTCTCACACATAACGTTCCCATAAAGGCTGAAGCTTTATATGGTAAAAAGGTATAATTTTTTAATATTTGATAATAGTTAATGGACGTAGAAATCAATCTTACCTTTGGATACCGCTGCATGTACAGATACTCAAGATATGTAAACCCTTACATGCCAAAAGGGTCAACTTGTTAATCGACTGTATTGATGGTGAAAATTTATTAATGATAGTGATTTGAAAGGAAAAATTCAGTGGACCAAATTTAAACCATATAGGTCTATTTTTTGGACCCGACTCCATATAAAATTTCTCACGAATAGCAAGTCTTTCGGAAACATTTTCAATGTTTTATGATTCATTTGGCAAAAAAAAAAAAAACGGTAAAGAATTTGGATCATACAGGTCTATTTTTAAGACCCTAACATACATATGGGAGTTATCATGAAAAGCACGCGCTTACACTGGGACGAAGCTTAATTTTTGTGTTTTATGAAGGAATCCGAAAAATAAAAAAATTTTTGCCAAATTTCGGTCTCATGATACGATACTGTTGGGCCTCCTTCAGTAAGGGAGCCCGCTGGGAATATATCCATTTGAATAAAAATAATACGTCATTTTTGGAATATTATAATCGAAAACGAATGAACAAGTGTAGCGGGCGAAGTAATGTTAGGTATCTAATGGTCGACCTTGTCCGGCTATAATGTTCGTACTTACTTTTATTAATAGCTAATTGACCAGAATTGAAGTAATTTTGGAAAAATACCTGACCGTCTTCCATGATATAAAAAAAAGTTACATTTAAAGAACAAAATAAAAATAATGTGTAGTCTAAAGGTATTGGACGTGGATTAAATCATTTTCATCTCAATCCTAAATTATAAGTTATAAGTATTTAAACTCTTTCTATATCAAATATGTATACGATTGTTCGAATGCTAACTTACGGTTATGTCCCATCTGAAAAACGTACGCTCCGCTCCAAATCCATATTACGATGGCTCCAACAAACAAACAATTCTACACAAACAACAGTTCCGAGAAAATTTCAACTCGAGAGAGTATTGCGTTGATAATTTGCATCAATTCCCTCGAGCAAAGATGATGGAGACTCTGTCTCTCTCTCTCTTTCCCTCATCATTTAACTTAAGCTACTTTTCCTTTATGCGATTTTTTAAAACTGTCTCTCGTACTACTAATTAAATTAGTTTTATATTGTTTCTTTTATATTTTATCATTTTTTTTTTACCTTATTTTCTTTTTCATCATTATTATCATTATTTATTTTTCTTTTCTTAGTTCTTTTATGCGCACAGATAATACATCATTCAATAAGTTCGTAAAATCAAGAGGTTCTTTGCTTAAATAATGCTGGATAAATTCGTGATTGATACTTGGTCTTGGATTAATCTTTAAGATAGCCGTAGAATATTATGCCCGGCGCATATATATGAACGCATCTTAACTTTCCCAGGATCTCCTTTCCCTTATCTCTTTGATCGTTCCGGATGTCGGAAGGATAGTAGTGAGTCCATGTTTCATTCCTTGTCACATATCGCGTGAAAAAATCTTTTGTCTAAATTTCGTCTAAATAATACCAAACAATTACTGTTCTTGGTCAAAAGTGAATAAAAGCGTCACACACTGCGAACACAGATTTCCCCTGAATAAAATCTCATGCCAAATAATAAATTATTAAGATATCGCGCTCTCTCTCATGTAACTTGATTTTTCCGTGTTTTCTTTTGGGGCACTAACCAATTGAGAGAAGCGTAATTCGTGACAACCTCAAATACATGCCAGGCTGCGAAATATTCTTGTTTGGAGATTGATTGCGCCATATATATAAGCAATGGGAACTTCTTCTCCATTTTCATGGGTTTAAGCTAATACGGTCTCAGCTATGAATTGACTTGCGCCGCATTGTATGGACAATGCGCAATCGAAATCTATTATATTTTGTGTACTGACGGGACAGAACATAATTATTCTTTCAGATTCTTAAAAGAGAGTTTTGTTTCCTTTGATCATTTGAAAGTTTTCTTTTTTCCTTAACCTGTCAGTCAGGGATGCGGACATGGGCGATGCAAAGTTACGCACAAAACGACAGTACCAACCATAAATATATACAAATCTTCGTAATTGGCGAATAGATTTCAGCAAAGGATCAAGTCAAGAGTAGACTGCTTTCTATTCTCGACGACCAGACCACCATCAGCATCCTCGGTATGCCATACGACTTTGTTGGAAATTAGAAAAGTGCATACAAATATACTTTTTTCGATAGACCAAAGCCTTTCACCCAGCTTTCACTTTTGTGCATCAAAATGCAACATTTGATCAACAAGCGGAATAAGATTTTTTTTATTGTTCCGAGATATCTTTAAGACAATTGCAACTAGTAAACATGTTATGAAATTTACGACACACTTTTCGACATGTTTGGAAGTTGACACGAAATCGAAAGGATTCGGCAATAGTGGCGACATCTATATGTCTCCCAATCAATAATTGTTAAAATGATTTCTTAGTCTCGACTAGCAATTCAATGATCGTAGATTCAAATCTCAAGTGCGGTAGAGTTTTTAATAAAGCCGAAAGCCTTAGACGCTAGTGCTTTAAGGCTTTTATCTTAGAATTTATTCTCTGGCTAAATTTATAATAATAATAATAATAATAAATGATTTCTTTCTTATCTTTTTTCTTCATTTATTCGTCTCCTATGAATATATATATGTATTAATATAACATACTGCTGCTATTTCGAATGCGCGAATCAAATGCGCTCTATTAAGAAGAATCTTAAAATAAAATTTGATAGTTTTTCAACTCTTTCTATTAACCAAAATTGTAAATTTTGTGTGTAAAGTAAATTAAAGATTAAAAGAAATGAACATGTGTTCATTATTAGGTGAAATGTAAACATAAATAAAATAAAATGGACATATGTTTATTGTTAAAAGTTATTTGAAAGTGTAATTAAGTATTCAAATTTCGTGTAAATTTGGCCAGTGAGTGTGACTGACTCATCGATGAGCAGTATATAAATGATATAAACGATTTTTTATAACACCTGCATCAATAAGTCATTTTTAATTTTTCCCTCTCACACCGACCGAAAATAATCTGAATTG